TCCTCCCCCCAGGCTCTCAAGCCTAGGAGGGAGGGAGGGAGAGGGAGAAGCAGCGTGTGCGCCGCGGCTACTCGGGGTCTCCCCCTCCCTCCAGGCTCTCAAACCTGGGAGGGAGGGGGAGATCCCGAGCAGCCGCGGTGCGCGAATCAGCTGTTTTGCGCGCCACGGCCGCTCGGGATCTCCCCCTCCCTTCCGGGTTTGAGAGCCTGGGAGGGAGGGCGAGCAGCAGCGTGCGAATCAGCTGTTTGGCGCGCGAGCAGCGGCAGCGGAGGTTAGTTAGGGCGGCCGGGGCACATTTTCAGGGGCGGCACGGCCGGCGCCAGAATGCCGCCCCTAAAAATGTGCCGCCCCAAGCACCAGCTTGTTTTGCTGGTGCCTAGAGCCGGCCCTGCATACTGGGGTGTATTAACAGGAGCGTTGTATTTAAGACGTGGGAAGTAACTGTCCTGTCTACATGGCACTGGTGAGGCCTCAGCTGGAGTACTGTGCCCAATTCCGGGTGCCACACTGTAGGAAAGATGCGGACAAATTGGAGAGCAAGTCCAGAAGAAAGCAACAAAAATGATAAAAGGTCTAGAAAACCTGACCTGTGAAGAAACGTTACAAAAACTGTGCATGTTTAGTCCTCAGAAAAGACTACTGATGACTACAGTCTTCAAATATGTTAAGGGCTGTTATAAAGAGAATGGGGACCAATTATTCTGTGTCCACTGAACGTAGGCCAAGTAGTAATGGGCTTAATCTGCAGCAAGGGTGACTGAGGTGAGATATTAGGAAAAGCTTTCTAACTACAAGGGTAGTTAAGCTCTGGAACAGGCTTCCAAGGAAAGAATGACAGAATCCCCATCATTGACGATTTGGTTGGACAAACTTGTCAGGGACAGTTGAGGTTTACGTGGCCCTGTGTCAGCACAGGGGGCTGAACTTGACCTCTCCAGGTCCCTTCCAGCCCTACATTTGTATGGTTCTAAGTCCTCTTAATTCAGACGGAGATAGCAGCTAAGTAATTTGTTGGAACAATTAACAGTTTATCCAAATTACTTACCATTGTGTGAAGAGGAATCACTGAGTTGCCTGAGCATGGAGAAGGATGCAAGAATGCTTGGATTCTAATCCCAAGGCTACAGCCAATTTGCTGTAGATTTTGAGCAAACTGCTTAACTTGTGCCTCAGGTCCCCCTTCTCCCCCATCTGTAAAATGGAAATAATACTCTCCTACCTCTTGTGAGAGGGATTCTGAGGGTTGTAAGCATAACACTATATAAGGAGCTCTTTGGACAGCTGAGATGTAAACTTTGCAACAGGATATATTGATTAGTACAAAAATCCACTCACTATGCAGTAAAATAGGAGACAGATATAAGCATACTGTGCTCAACATGGGTTGTTGTTTTTTTTTGGAAGGGGGAATGGGGAGGAGAGAGAAGCGAAACCCAGCTATTCTACAAGCCATAAAGCAAAACTATAGATTAGTAAATAGCAAAAGGTACCTGTGCTGCTCTGCTCTGCCTCCTCATTTGCTACCCGCATCAGGGCATCAAGAACAAGTGCATTGTCCAGCCAGGTGTACCATTCCTCTAACTCCTGAAGGAAATTGGAAGTACCCGTTGTTTCCGATACTTTCCTCGTTGCCAGTTTGCATAATCGCTCAACAAAGCCTGGAATATTCAGGAGTGTAGCTACAACAGGAAAACAAAACAACAAGTCGTCAACCAACAAAAGACTCCATGCCAGATGGCAAATTCACTTTTCAAAATGCTCCTATCAAAGTATACAACAGTGTACTCAACTGTATTCTATATAGCTGACAAGATCCAAATATTGGATTTTTTGATGAGTACTCAACAGCAGCCAGAGGGATCCTAGATAGTTAGACATGACAGGTTGGGTAAAAATGAATCGTTTTTAAAAAATTGATTTTTTTTAAGCCTAGAATGTCTGCTAAATCAGCTTGAAGCGATGGAAAGAGCTACGAGTATGGTTGAGAGCTCTTGTTCCGAATATCATCAAGTTGCATCATCACTGGAATTCAGTCTGTTACTGGCCCATTTTTAAGTTCTCAGCCATTTTGACTATGAATTACACCCATGCGACAGTAAGGGCTTTCAGCTACTAGTTTCAAAATTAACAGAGGCAGTTATCATTTGAGTTTAAGGCCTAAGCTTACTATAAACTACTTTCTTAAATGATTTTAATAAGTAAATAAAAAAGTCTGCCATATCAAGAGTCCTAGTCTACTGTGATATCAGAAGTAACTCAACCAAACACCACCCTTACTCAACAGCTAATAAGCAGGCAACAATTTCCCCGGTTGTATGAGGAAGACTCCGTAGATAATGGATTACCTGGCCCACTGCTACAGTTCTTCAAAACCATCCACAGGACTACAACCAGTACATACAATAGCCTCAAACACCCTTCGCCTCACTGGAGCACCCTGTTCTCATTCACCACCTGCACAAAATCTATACAACTCTCCCAGGACAACACAAATACAACCACCCACACCCCACCACTATCAGCACATAGAATAACCCAACCAGGATTTGCGGTCTGTTACTGTCCAATTTTTAAGTTCTCCACATTTTTTTTTTTTTAAACAAAAACACACCCACACACCCCTTTACAGATTACATCTGTGCAACAGCACAGGTTTTCATCTACTAGTTTAAAATTAAACTCAAATTACGACAACCTATGTTACGGCCTAAACTTACTATAACCTACTAAAATAATTTAAACAAAACAAAAACATCCACATTAATCAATACATTTGCTACTGAAGTTTTAAAGAGAGGCAGACCACTGAACTGGTGGAAGTAATTGGATAAGGACCTGGAACCAGAGTTTGTTGAAGTGTTAAATTGGCTTTAACAGTAGTTGCCTCTTCTGCAGATGCAAAGAGAATTTTAATTTTCATTTCACTTTATTCAACTAATTCAGTTCAATGACCAGCTCATTCAAAGTTAAGAAATTGATTGGGAGTTGAAAAAGCAGGAAAACTTGTTGTCTTTCACCAGTATATTAAAAGAAACTAAATGAGAGAGCATGGTATCTACTAGCTCAAAAATCATGAAGGACATGGTGATCAAACAATCACTACAATTCACAACTACAGATAATACTTCCCTTGTTTAATAAATCAATTAGTTTTAAATGCACGTTTTGAAAATAAAAAAGCTCTTATATGTATAGGACATTTAAGTAGCTTTATTTAATCAATAAAACAAATGTTTTTGCACATTTTTAATTGAATTCCAATTTCCATCCAACTAGAGCTTGAAACAAGTAAAAAAAACAAAAAACCATAATAAGAAATGCATCATTTACCATTTTTTAACATAAGGAAATGTAAAAATTAAGAATCTATATAACTGCTTAAATAAATCTACAGATATAATGTATCCTTCTGGTTGGCAAAAAGAAGTACCAAATTTAGAATAGAGACTATATTTAGTTGAAAATCAATGTGTTTTAATGATTACCAACCAATGGAGAATCAACTAAAGGAAAGTAACTAAAAAGCAGAAAAAAAAAGATCGAAATCATTTAAATCAAGGTTTTCGGTTTTCTGGTTTAAATCCTGATTAAAATTGGTAATTTCAATCCTTTCCCACCCAGGGTCGATTGATGTTGCTGAATTACACATTGGATTTGTTTTTGACGATTCAGATGTCAACTTTGAATAAAAGCTGCATTTTGCCCTCAGTGTAAGGCTCTCACAAAGGCCTGGTGTTCACTATATGAGTTTAGGTCAAATTTAGCAGCGTTAAATCAGATTAACCCTGCACCCCTCCACACAATGAAGCCATTTACTTCAACATAAAGGGCTCTTAAAATCGATTTCTGTACTCCTCTCCGACGAGGGGAGTAGCGCTGAAATCTACACTGCCGGTTCGAATTAGGGTTAGTGTGGATGAAATTCAACGGTATTGGCCTCCAGGAGCTATCCCACAGTGCACCATTGTGACCACTCTGGACAGCAATCTGAACTCTGATGCACTGGCCAGGTAGACAGGAAAAGCCCCATGAACTTTTGAATTTCATTTCTTGTTTGCCCAGCGTGGAGAGCACAGGTGACCACGCAGAGCTCATCAGCACAGGTAACCATGCAATCCGAGAGTTGAAAGAGCACCATGTATCTTTTTAAGTACTTTTCTCCCTTTTTTCCCCTCCCTCCCGCAGCTGCAAATTTTTCAAGCCTCCCTCCTCCATCCCGAAGGCTATCTCAGATAAGGTGGACGGAAAAAAAAAAAAAAAAAAAAAAAACCAACACACTCGAGACTGCATGATTTCCAAGAACATTTAATCAACCCGCAATGAAAGAGCTCATCTGAATGAGTGGAAGGACACAGTATCAAAGTACAGGAAAGATGCCAGTGAACGTGAGGACAGGAGGGACGCTCGAGATGAGAGGTGGCGGCAGGAGGATCAGAGGAGGCAGGATGCAACGCTGGGGTTGCTGCGTGAGCAAACGGACATGCTCCGGCATCTGGTGGAGCTTCAGGAACGGCAGCAGGATCACAGAGTGCCGTTGCAGCCCCTGTATAACCACCCTCCAAGTTCCATAACCTCCTCACCCAAACGTATAACAAGGGGTACGCTGGGTCCCCAAGGATAACTAGGTATTTTAACATCCCCAACGGTTATTTTCTGGTCTGGGAAGTAAGTCCCTTGCTGTAGCCATTTAAACAGATTAGTGTTCCTGAAGATGCCAGCGTCATGAACCCTTCCCGGCCATCCCACGTTGATGTTGGTGAAACGTCCCTTGTGATCCACCAGTGCTTGCAGCACCATTGAAAAGTACCCCTTGTGGTTTATGTACTGGCTGCCCTGGTGCTCCGGTGCCTAGATAGGGATATGGGTTCCATCTATCGCCCCACCACAGTTAGGGAATCCCACTGCAGCAAAGCCATCCACTATGACCTGTACATTTCCCAGAGTCACTACCTTTGGTAGCAGCAGCTCAATGATTGCTTTGGCTACTTGCATCACAGCAGCTCTCACAGTAGTTTTGCCCACTCCAAATTGATTCCTGACTGACCGGTAGCTGTCTGGCATTGCAATCTTCCACAGGGCTATCGCCACTCGCTTCTCAACTGTGAGGGCTGCTCTCATCTTGGTATTCTGGTGCTTCAGAGCAGGGGAAAGCAAGTCACAAAGTTCCATGAAAGTGGCCTTACACATGCGAAAGTTTTGCAGCTACTGGGAATCGTCCCACACCTGCAACACTATGCGGTCCCACCAGTCTGTGCTTGTTTCCCGGGCCCAGAATCAGCGTTCCACGGCTATAACCTGCCCCGTTAACAGCATGATCTCCAAAGCGCCGGGGCCCGCGGTTTGAGAGAATTGTGTGTCCACGTGCTCATCACTCTCGTCGCCATGCTGCCGTAGCTGCCTCCTCCTCGCCTGGTTTTTCAGGTCCTGGTTCAGCATAAACTGCACGATAATGCGCGAGGTGTTTACAATGTTCGTGACTGCGGTCTTCAGCTGAGCGGGCTCCATGCTTGCCGTGGTATGGTGTCTGCACAATTCACCCAGGAAAAAAGGCGCGAAACAGTTGTCTGCCATTGCTTTCACGGAGGGAGGGGTGAGGCTATACCCAGAGCTACCAACGACAATGTTTTTTGCCCCACAAGGCATTGGGATCTCAACCCAGAATTCCAATGGGCAGGGGAGACTGCGGGAACTATGGGATAGCTACCCACAGTGCAACGCTCCGGAAGTCGACGCTAGCCTCGGTACATGGACGCACACCGCCGAATTAATGGGCTTAGTGTGGCCGCATGCACTCTACTTTATACAATCGGTTGCCAAAAATCTAATTCTGTAAATTCAGAGTAATCCCGTAGCGTAGACATACCCAAAGATACATAGTATCAGTTCTTCATTATCAAATAAAATAGAGTTGTTAGATATAATACTATGCTAAATCTTCATCCTTATAGACTCAAAAGCCAAGGCCCTTAGTTCAAGTACCACCATTCTGAGTGGCTGCAATTCTATCGACAGCGCACGTCAACCATGACATTCTGAACTTAGAAAAAGAAAACCTAAGTTAAAATTATATTTGAAAAATAATATTTTAGGTTTGGACATTTAGACCCTGACCTTGCAAACGGCTCACTTCAAGCATGTGTGAAGAGACTACTGAAATACTCAGATTTAAGCATTTGCAGGATCAGGAACATACACCTCTACCCCGATATAATGCTGTCCTCGGGAGCCAAAAACATCTTACTGTTTTATAGGTGAAACCCCCTTATATTGAACTTGCTTTGATCCGCTGGAGCGCACAGCCCCGCTCCCCCCGGAGCGCTGCTTTACCATGTTATATCCGAATTCGTGTTATATCGGGTCAGAGGGATAGCTCAGTGGTTTGAGCATTGGCCTGCTAAACCGAGGGTTGTGAGCTCAACCCTTGAGGGGACCACTTAGGGATCAGGGGCAAAATCAGTACTTGGTCCTGCTAGTGAAGGCAGGGGGCTGGACTCGATGACCTTTCAAGGTCCCTTCCAGTTCTAGGAGATAAATAAATAAAGGAGATATTCTATTTATTTATTATTTTTATTTATATCTGGGTAGAGGTGTATTCAGTTAGTTTGCTTAAACAGCCTGAAGATCTGCACATTCACTTTAATGTATTAGATGTCCTTGGATCTTCAGCCATAAGGGCTTA